GCGTGTTTACATGTGTGTGTACGTGTGTGTGTGTGTGTGTGTTGCGTGTGTGCGCGTGTTTGTCGAGTGTTGTTATGTGTGTGTGTGTGTGTGTGCGCGCGCGCATGTGTGTGTGTGTGTGTGTACGTGTGGCAGTGTGCGTGTGTACGCGTGTGCGTGCGTGAGTGTGTGGGTGCGTGTGTGGGTGCGTGTGTGGGTGTGTGTATGTGTGTGTGTGTGTGTGTGTGCGTGTGTTTGTGGGCGGTGGTGTGGGTGTGGGTGTATGCCCTGAGTGACTGAGTCTCTTTGAATGCGTTTTCTTACTCCTCCGTCATTATGGGGTTTAGAAATGAAACGTATCAGCCCTTGTCCACTTTTTTTCATCCTAAAGTCATGGCTCACTGTTACAGTATGTTGCTGTGTGGTTGGAAAGATTTCTCACATGGTTATTGCCACATGAGACCATGCGCGAGCGTTTCATTGTAATTACATTCGTTTGCGAGCCAAGTAATAATCACCGTCCCCTGAGGGGAAAGCCTCTCTGGTGCTATGTCGTGCTCAGCTAGCATGAACCTGACTGCGAATATGACCTTTGAACCTGGCACATGTTTTCTTACTGCCGACATTGCACGTGTGCGCTTCTGATGCTGGCTTGTGAACCTCCTGCTGGTCCATGACTCTGTGGGAAAGGAATTGAAAGCGGGGTTGGTTTGGTTTGGTTTTGTTTTGTTCCGTCGCGTTCCGTTTAGTTTAGTTTCGTTTCGTTTCGTTTTGTTTTGCTTTGTTTTGTTTTGTTTTGTTTCGTTTTGTTTTGTTTTTTTTTCATCCTTTTTGAATGTGGGGTTGCTCCTGTTTTGTTTTGTTCTTAAATGGGGGGTTGGACAAGGTTGGCTTGTTGATTTATTTATATTTATATTTATATTTATATTTATATTTATAGGAATTTTGGAAACTGTAGTCTTGTTGAAGTGAGGAGCTAAGAGAAAAAAGGAAATTGTGTAATGGGATTGAAATCATTGAACTTTCAAGTTTCAACATCTCTCATGCGTTCAGTTCTAGTGGGTGGGGGAGTTCTAGTGGGTGGGGGGAGTGCAGGGCGAACACACGAGCATCTTGGCGGGCAATAGAGCCGTGTACTGGCGATTCAATGGTGGTTGGTTAATCGGCCAATTCTGCTCAATGTATGTAGAGCATGGATGGCTCAGGATCTGGCTTTGTGTTGTTGTTGTTTGTTTACAAAAACAAAAGGCGCAGTGGTGGCCTTGAGATATCCGTGTCGAACTGACCTGCCCCAAGTAATTCAGAGTCATTCGAACTCAGGTCTGGATTTGAAACATTCATCGGTGCACCAATTGAGCAACTCCCGTTGGTATGATGGCTCGGTATATCGAGCGCCGAAGTTTTTTTTCTTCAAAAACAAAATGTTAACAGATAGGCATGCTGGCACTACAGTCAACCCTCCAGGCATGTGGAGCAATCAACGCCTTTCAGGGGTCCGTCGGCGAAATGTAAGGAAGAGTGAGGGTGTTGTTTGTACTCCTTAATTTACTTCCGACTTGCCGGTGGAATAGGAACAGGACTGATTCTCCTCAGAATGGACATATGGAGCATAGGGCCATAAGGACCTGGTGCTTTTTTTTTTTTTTTTTTTTTTTTTTTTTNTTTTTTTTTTTTTTTTTTTTTTTTTTTTTTTTTTTTTTTTTTGCTTGTCAGTTAGCGAATGCTTACTGATAAACAAGCGGAAAGCTAGGTGCTAAGTAGATGCCTGCTGGCCAAAGCAGCTCTACGTTTAGCTAATCAGTTGGTCAGTTATAAGGGGAGAGAAATCCATCGATTGTGAAATGGTGGGAGCAACCGGCTATGCCGGTGGGAGACTGGCATCGATTCGAGGTTGAATACCTGTGAAGAACAGGTAGTCGATGGCACCGTCCTCACCCGCATGGAATGCCGAGGCATTTTTGCCCGTATCAACACGGAAGGTGGCCCAAATGCAGTTATAACTTATATCGACTGGGTGCTCTATTCGGGTGAAGACTGTAGCTTCAAGAGTGGTATCTGTTTTCTTGCACTTTCTTTGTTTTTTTTTTTTTTTTTTCTTGCCATGACAATTCCTCCTTTCTCCTCTTTACTCCTCGGATAGGGCCCCGTGAGGCTGGTGGTCTACTGTTTAGGGTTTCAAGGGCTTAGGTGGGCTCCTTTGTCCGCCCTCATTTGGGCACAGGGGGTGGGGAGGGAGGGGAGGGGAGGAGGGGAAGGGCGCAACCTATGGCCTAAAATTGACGCGACACGCCCTCCTGTTTCTTTGTCCCTCCGCTGTTGTTGCCGCAAGTGCTCCCACCTGTTCACATTTGAAGAGTGGTACATCAGCCTGTCTGTTGATAAGTAGTAGTGATCGATCGGCTTGTCAGATGGGGGTTTTGGGAGGAGGGCAAGGGCTATCTATGGCGTAAAAGTGACCTGACCTGACGTCCTTTTTTCTGTCCCTCTCTCTGCTGTTGTTGCAGCAAGTGACTCCGCCTGGTCACATTTGAAGAGTGCTACATCAGCCTGCGTGTTGGAAGAAGTAGTGATCGGTCAGCTGGAGTCAGACTTGTTGGGTTGGGCGGAGGGGGAGGGCCAATCTAAGCCGTAAAAGTGACCTGACCTGAAGTCGGGTGTTCTGTCGCTCTGCTGTTGTTGCGGCAAGTGCATCCACGTGGTGACATTTGAAGTGTGGTGGTACATCAGCCTGTCTGTTGGCAGAAATAGACACGGATCGGGTGGTCAGACTGCGAAGATGAGTGCAAGCGGCGGATCTGTTCGGTCGGGGGTCGACCAAGGAGCCCAGCGCTTCCATCCGTCAGCTTCTGTGAGCGGTGCAGATAACTTGGGGGTCAATGCTGTGGTCATGGGACTGTTTGTCGTCGTGGTGGCGGTGTTGGCCGTGTATAACTTCGGGGGGTTACATGAGGTACCCGAGGGCCATGTGGGGGTCTACAGGAGAGGTGGTGCAGTTCTGAGAACCATAAGCGAACCGGGTTTTCATTTGATGATGCCTGGACTAACGACTTTTGAGAGGGTGCAAGTGACGCTTCAGACGGACGAGGTAACCAACATCCCGTGTGGAACGAAGGGAGGCGTGATGATCGTGTTTGAGAAAATAGAAGTCGTGAATCGACTACGGAAAGAGCACGTACTGGACACGATCATGCAGTACGGAGCGAAGTACGACAAGATTTGGATTTACGACAAGATTCATCACGAAATCAACCAGTTCTGCAGCATGCACACGCTGCAGGAGGTGTACATCGACAAGTTCGATCAGGTCGACGAGCGGATGAGGGAGGCCATCCAGAGGGACTGCACGAAGTATGCTCCAGGAATTGAGATCATCAACGTGCGAGTGACGAAGCCGAAGATTCCTTTGAGCATTGCGCGCAATTACGAGCAGATGGAAGAGGAGCGGACAAAGGCGCTGATCGCCGCGGAGAGGCAGCGGGTGGTGGAGAAAGAAACCGAGACGGAGAGGAAAAAGGCGGTGATGGAAGCCGAGAAGGTGGCCCAGACGAGCAGGATTCGGATGGAGCAAATGCTCGCCGAGAAAGAGTCGCAGAAACGCCAGCAAGAGATCGAGAACGAGATCTACCTCTCTCGTCAGAAGAGTCTCACCGATGCAGAGTATTACAGAGTCATGAAGGAAGCTGAAGCCAATAAACTGAAGCTAACCCCCCAGTTCCTGGAATGGGAGTTCATCTTGGCCATTGCCAACAACTCCAAAATCTTCTTTGGCGAAAAGGTCCCCCACATGGTTATGGATCAACGCCTCCTCGGAAACTTTCTCCAGGGTAGGGGGGCCCAACAGTAGGCAAGAGTGATGGAGGACTTGCAATTCTGGCAGAAAAGCGTGCTTCGTTTTACTTATGGGTCTTTGCGGTTCTGGGCATGTCGCCCTTTGCTCCGTTTCTGAGGTAGTGCGGGTAGGCAAGAGTGATGGAGGACTTGCAATTCTGGCAGAAAAGCGTGCTTCATTTTACTTACGGGTCTTTGCGGTTCTGGGCGTGTCGCCCTTTGCTACGTTTCTGAGGTAGCGCGGGTGAGTGGGTGGGGGGATACGTTTTCTGCACAATGGTATCAGAGGATGAGGGCATACATAGGCAAGCTGGCACAAGCGTGTAGTGACGATGGCGTCGGTCTTGTGGGCCTTAAAAGAAGGGAAGGAAAGAAAAACGACACCAAGGTAGTGTGGGGTTCGGTTGGGGGGGGGGGAAATAACACTTGGCAGACTGATCGGAACGTGCAAGTAGGGGAGGAAGTTTTATGCACTTCGTACCAGGTCCAGTTATGCTCGCTCTCGAAAAGGCTATTTTTAGCGCACTCTCTAACATACTATCTTTAGCGCACTCTCTAACAGACTATTTTAGTATCTTTATTAAACATGCATGCACTGATAAGCACCAGCCAGTTGTGCTCACTAACAGGCTATTTTTGTTACAGTCTCTAACAGGCTATTTTTGTTACAGTCTCTAACAGGCTATTTTCCACAAGGCTATTTTTAGCGCACTCTCTAACATACTATTTTTAGGGCACTCTCTAAGATACTATTTTTATTAAACATGCATGCACTGATAAGCACCAGATGTGCTCACTAAGAGGCTATTTTTAGTACACTCTCTAACACGCTATTTTTAGTACACTCTCTAGCGAGCTTTTTTTTTTCTGACAGACACCGATATACACACCACTTGTGCTCTCTCACAGAGGCTATTTTTAGTACAGATTCATACACTGTGTCGGATATCCCTGAGTCGAAGTTGAGGATAGCTCTGGCAGGTACAGTACAAGTTAGTACAGATTCATACACTTTGTGTGCGAAATTCCTGGCCTGGCGTTGGCATATACAGCGGCAACCCTCTGCGCTTTGTGTGCGCTTTGTGCTCCAGAATCCTATAGCTTCAGTATGGATAGACTGGCGCACAAACCGAGCGAGTGATGCAGAGGGCAACACATAACAACACACAACGCAACTGGATATGCGTCCACCGATCAGGCAAGAATCTAGACGCTAGTGTGATCGGTGGACGAGCACTAGGAAAGGAGAGATGGCTGCAATTTGGCTGAGTTTGGTTCATTTCACGCCTAGGGCCTCGCTCCACTACACAACACTCTGCATGCATTTGGATGCTTTCTGGAATGGATAGGGGCTCGAAATGTTGGATTCGTCCGAATGCAACTGGTCCATAAAGCGTCCATATGCATGTAGATTGTTGTGTGGTGAAGAACCCGCCCCTTAGCCTTTGTTGTCTTGTCCCATGTCTTATACTGTGTCTTCCATCGCACTGGGAGGTCCAGCAGATAGACTCTCCTAGGAGGGATGGGTGCCATTTGGCTAAGTCATCGCACTGGGAGGTCCAGCAGATAGACTCTGCTAGACTCTACTAGGAGGGATGGGTGCCATTTGGCTAAGTTTTGGAAGTTTTGGTTGGTTACACTATACTACGGAGGGCATGCTCACACTAACACTTTTCTTAGTGCATCTGACCGCAATTATGGCGGAGCTTGGATGCATCTGACTGGAATCACGTCCAGAGCTGAGTAGAAAACGTCCCAGCGTGAGTATGCCCTTGAGTCTGATATTCAGCTTTATCGTAGTTTTATACCCTGTCTATCCATTGCAGTGACGGGTCCGGTTCTTGCGAATCTCTCCGCTGCTGTGAGCTCTTCATCTGTAACCATATCAATCGCGTGATCGCTCCAATACTGCCGGTTCTCGTACCACCGCTGGGATAGAGGGATGGCACAAGGGCTTTCACACACACACACACACACACAAAAATAATAAAATAAAATAAATAAATAAATAAATAAATAAATAAATAAATAAATAAATAAATTAGTTATGGCATCAATGACACTCTAGCATAGCGGGCCTGTAAGCACATTTTCAGCACCGTTGCTCAAACTGCACCAGGGTAACTAGTGGCGGGATCTAATAACCCTGGTGCAGTTTGAGCAACGGTGCTGTTGGGCAGTGGTGCAGTTGGGCAGCCAGGAGTTTCTACGCCCACATGATGCTTCGCCTGCCCAACTGCACCGCAACGCCATGTGAAAATGCCTACGGACAAGGTTGCTGTGACTAGTCAGGGGTGATCGCCTTTGATACGAGCTAATTTGTGTCGTAGCAATGAAGGCGTCCTGCTGAAGCGACACACTTTGCCTGGCGACCTGCAAGCTTCAACCTGAAAGTCCTTCAGCATTTCACACCGCCCTCATCCAATGAAGGGAATCATAGATCAACTTCATGATTTCACACCTGACTACAGTCTCTACACAGCATACTGAACCTCCAATGCTACCCCTCCATCTTTTTTTTTTTTCTCTTTTTCTCTTTTTCTTTTTCAGGGTATGTGTACGGACGACCAGTCGGGGTGCCCGGCGAAACCAAAGCCGTTTTTTTTGGCACACTTGAATCATCGTCACTTCAGGGTAACTCGGCGGTCAGAGGGGCGCTTCAGGGTAAGTCGGCGGTCAGATGGGCTCACTGCAAATAAATGCAACTTTGAGGCTGCAAATAAATTTTAAATTTGGCTTCCTTTTTTTTTTTTTTTTTTTTTTAAGGCCTGTTTTTGTTTTTTTGTTAAGGGTAGATTTTTAATACCAACCAATTAAAGTATGACGGCGAACCCCGCAGCAGCCACATCCGTGCTGAACCCTCCAATGAGGGAATATTTGAGAGCTGGACACACCAGCAGGTGCAATACCTGCTACAGCAGGTGGGCGATACCATCCACGGGTCAGCGGGTAGCATCAGGGCCGAGCTTCTTCGATCGCCTAGTCGATGTGCCTCCCCTCCGGTCCCCTTCCCCTATGGACAGCAGCAGTCTCTCCTCAATACCACTCAGGGGGACGAACGGCATATCTGCTGTCCATTATAGCCCGTACATACGGAGGTCACAAGGCCGACCTCCGTACGTACGGACGTTCAGGTCCCGAACCTGAAGGTGTTCGGCCCCTGCCAAAAACGTATTTCGGGGCCTAAGAATAAGTGTTTTTTTTTTCTAAATGTGTTTTTGCGAGTTCTCTATGATGTGGTGTATATGCCTATAAATTTTGAAGTCCTTTTGCTAAGCCAAACAGAAATAAAAAATCGCTAAAGATGGCGGTGTCAAAACGTGCTCACCCATTCAATATTTTGTTTCTTTTCACTTTCCACTTTTTGTTTTCACTTTATTGCGAGGCCTAAACAACTTGATTGTTTTTCTGAACTTTTTTAACGAGTTTTGTATTGTATGAAGTACACGTCTGTAAATTTTAAGGGCATTTGGGTAAGCCAAAAAAAAATGAAAATTCAACAAACATGGCGGTGTTGAGAACGTGCTCGCTCATTCATTAACTTTAATTGTGTTTTCATGTTTTTTTTTTTTTTTTTTTTTATACATACATATTCAAACGGGCTGGGAACCTCCGTACGTATGGCCTGGTGATATAGCGTTCGGGCTCAATCAAACTCCCGAACCCGAACCTGCCGAACGTTCGGCTCCCCTCGGGGATGTGTTCGGCCATTGGGGCCGAACATGGACCTTAAAAAAATAGAAAATTAAGAAAATGAAACAAATTCTAAAAAATCTGAAAATATGCTATGCAGAAAAAATAAACGAACAATATTTGCCTTAGCGATACACCCGAATTCCTCACCGGATTTGGAATAAAAATAAGATACAAAAAACAAATAATAATAGGAAAAATAAGAAAAAATAAAAAAGAATTAAAATTAGTGAGTGGGCAAGCGCGTTGTGGATACCACCATCTTTGGCCATTTTCCAATTTTTCTTGGGACAGCCAAATGACCTAACAATTTACATATGTTTATTTCACATAATATGACGCTCAAAAAAAAAAATTTCAAAAAATAATAAAGTATTTGAGGCACCAAAATAAAATCAAAACAAAAAGTGAAACGTGAAGTGGCCGAGCACGTTTTGACACCGTCATCTTTGGCGATTTTTCATTTCTTTTTGGCTCGGAAAAATGCCTTGAAAATTTATATGCATGTAACCCATGTCATACAGAACTCGCACAAAAAACATTAACAAAAACAATTAATTTTTAGGACGTGAAATATTTTTTGGCGAGGGCCGAACCTCTTCAAGTTCGGACCCCGAACGGGACCCCGAACACCCGAACGTTCGGGGGTCAGCCCGGGGGCCCTGAAACATTCGGTCTGTTAACCATGTAAGCAGCGCAGCCCCGTAATCCGTAGGCACTAGAGGCACAGCTACAACAGGCGTCAAAAAATAAAAAGAATTAAATAATAATAATAATAATATAATTTAAATAAATAAATATCATGCCCTTCCCCCCACGCTGCTGGCACAGCATGGCCGTGTAGTGACTGCCCCGACCACTGCCGCTCGACCTGACTGGAGAAAACCGTAGCAAGGTGCTAGTGAAGAGGGGGAGCAGAGAGGGAGAAAAGGACAACAAACGAGGGGCTGTGACAAACTGTTTCGTCGGAGTTTCACCGGAGTTTCACCAACTCATCAGGAGGTTATATAGATAGATAGATAGATAGATAGATAGATACCGGTGTTAAGGTGGATTATAACTTACAGTGTAATCAGTTAGGGGATTCTGCAGGCTGTTGAGGGTTCAGCCTCCTGATGAGTCGGTGAACTCCGACGGAACAGTTTTTTACAGCTCCTTGTTTGTTGTCCTCTTCTCCCTCTCTTCACTGGCACCTTGCTACGGTTTTCTCCAGTCAGGTCGAGTGGCAGTGGTCGGGGCAGTCGCTACACGGCCGTGCTGTGCCTTTAGTACCAGCAGCGTGGGGGGAAGGGCATGATATTTATTTATTTAAATTATTATTATTATTATTTTTTGTTTTTTGTTTTTACGTCTGTTGTAGCTGCTCCAGGCAGCTCCAACTTGATGTAGCTTGCATGTACATGCTAGATAGACAAGCTCTGACAAGTAGGAGCGAATAGAGTAGGCGACATCGATTTATAATTGGCGCGGCATGTTGGTTGCATCCGTTTCAAAGTAGCCAGTCCTCTTACCAAAGATGACATAGACTATCACCCCCAAGCCAAATTGGGTCAGAGCTAGCACACCATTTGTGGAACCAGCTTGTCCCAAACAGCAGCCTCTTGAGGTTGGTACCAAATATCAAAGGGGATCTTCAAGTAAGGTGCTGGAATCAGGAGGGATCAAGACACAATGGCGAAGTATGTACGACAATCTAGCTATGCATTGGCGCTTTGAGTCCGCTTTGTGATAGTAATTGGCGAGACCGCACAGAGATCGAAGATACGTGACACAGTTTCTCTGCGGATCTTGGAAGTAAAAGAAGAAGGGTTTAGGGTTTCCCGATTTGTCACAAAAACCTAAAGCTGCCAGGGGGTGAATCACTTTCCGCGTATCAACGAGTAAAATGACGTTGTGAGGAAACCTGGGGAGGGGCGCCTAGCGTTCGCTGAAGCCAAGGGCCACGGCGCCTGTCACTCGCCCCACCCGCTTCCGAGGTCCTCAGCGACCGCCAGGGAGTCCTTTGAGATCTGCGTGTCCCACTCTCTGTGTAAAGTAGGCCTTTATCCTCAGAACATAGGAATTTTGCAAGATAATTCGCTTAATCGAAATATTTCAGTTCACCAGATGAGTTGTAGTCTGGGTGTTGACTGGCGGGGAGAGCTTTCTTATCCTCCCCCTCCCCGCAGAGCTGTGAAGCATACAGCAAGGTAATGATGCAAACAGATAGTTGATGTACTAGGAAAATTAACAACAAATTAGTCAGTAGCACGGTTTGACGATACATGTCCATGCATCAACCGAGTGTGGCATTGGAACTCTCAGCCCAGCCCGGGTCATACTCAAAGGTATTTCGATGTGCTCCAAGTCCGATTCGTGGGAACAAAAATAATGTAGAACAAAAAATAAAAAAATAAAAAAAATAAAAAAAAATGCTTCCGTGCCAATGCACCCTTGACCT